GATGCTGTCCTACCTACAAAGTCCATCATGGTTTTTCCAAATCAGAAACCATGGTTGGACAGTACAGTGTCACGTCTGCTCAAAGCTTGGGACGCTGCCTTCAGATCAGGTGACAGGCTGGCCTATAGCAGGGCCCGGAAAGAACTAAAGAAGGGCATCCGGCTGGCCAAACGCAGGTACAAACGGCACATTGAGGAGCACTTTATGAATAACACACAGAGTATGTGGAGAGGCATCAAAACAATAACAGACTACAGAGGCAACAACCAGCAGGTCAGCCATGACCCCACCGTCCCTGACACTCTGAATAGTTTCTTTGTACGCTTCGATACACCTGGCAGCAGAGGAACTGTACATCTCCCTCAGCTCGAGGAACAGCACCAGCCTTTCGTCCTGCAGCTACACCAGGTGAGCTCTGACCTGAGGAGGATCAACACCAACGAAGCCGCAGGACCAGACAGGGTGTCAGGCCAAGTTTTGAAGCTATGCGCTGACCAACTGGCAGGAGTTTTCTTGGACATTCTATAACCTGTCCTTGCATCTTGCTTCAGTCCCTGTGTGCCTCAAGTCCTCCATCATTGTGCCTGTGCCCAAGAAATCATCTGTCACCTGCCTCAATGATTACCGCCCTGTTGCTCTGACACCAGTAATCATGAAGTGCTTTGAGAGGATCGTCCTAAAGCACATCAAGGACGTCATCCCTGTTGGTCTGGACAGCCATCAGTTCGTCTACATTTGTTTGGCTATAGTATCACACACAGAAATTGAACACCTGATTTACAGGACTCCTGCCTGACTAGAGATGCACCAATCGATCAGCAGAAATTGGATATGGACGGTTATCAGTGTGATTGACCTTGTCTGGTGGCCAGCCAATCAATCTGAGGTTTCCGATTTTGTGGCAATCAGACTTTGAGGTACAACAGTCCACATCTCACACATAAAGGCACAGACCAAAAGTGTAGCGTGTGCAGCACATAGCATATCACGTGCACCTAAAGTGAGGCTCACAATCGTGTCTGTATCGGATGCCTGTTCAATTGTACATTGGTAAAACACAGCAAATACAAACTACACACATTTCAAAAAGAACTGTGTGCTCAGGACTGATGTCACAGACATTCTTCTGTTTCTGTTATCTGTTGCACCTGTTTATATTTGGAGAACTACAACACCACACTTAATTTTTAGTTGGAGGCTTGTAAAAAATGAAAAAAAAAGACTGAGGAAAAGATGGAAAACTTTAGTACAATGTTTTATTGTCATTACAATTTAATCTTTGATTAAAATTACAATAAACCGGAATCAACAAGTCAGGCTTATCAAAATTGGAAATCAGAATTGGCCTCAAAAGTTGCAGTTAATATCCAGCCTGGGCTCTTAGGCAAGGCCCTTAATGCAGTTAGAGAGAGCTTAGATTTTGTTTTTATTTTTTGTTTTTTATGTAATAGGCCATAATAATTTGGCATATGATAGTGATATTAAACGTCTTTGCCTGTACCATGCTCATCCCACACTCTTCTATCGAATTGTATTGTGGTCTAAATTTTACCAAATCATGAATAATTGAAGGATGTTCTTTAGGTTTGACATTGGTTAAACAGTTGTCCAGTAGAGAGAGAAGTGATTTTACATTTCTGTGTTGTTGCATGCTCTTACATTGCTGTCTGTCTGGCAACCTGAAACCAATTTATGTCAGAGAATATGCAGGCCACTGTGTTCTTCACTCAAGGACACACAAAACAGTGGTTTCAGACAGAGTGAGCATGTACAGTACTGTATAGTGCTATCTGTATTGTTTTTTGTATGAATGTTTTTTTAAATAAATAAAAACATGTTTTTGTGTAGGGTCTATCAAGTACAGCGCACAGTAATATCATCACAGTGAATTCAGAAAGCATTCATTTAGTTTTCTACATTTTATGTTTCAAACTCAATTAAATTTATAAAAAAGTTGTTATGCCTGAGACCTGTCAGCAGGTGAAAAGTGTTAGCGAGCCATTAGCTAGCTAGATGACTGGAGAGCTCCCCCTTTCTACCATGGATCCCAAACGAGGTCACAATAATCACTAATCTTAAATAAAGTGAGTGTTATTTCAATATTTCGAGCCCATATCTTTAAAGTTAGCCTAAAGCATCATTTCATATCTGTCAAAGCATGTCCATCAGGCTTCAAGAGTCAAGAATAAAAACTATGAACACATGTGCAGTTTGTGGAATTGATGTATCTTCTGCTCAATGCATTATACCTGGAACCCCATGACGTATTTTTGACAGTCAGTTCAGTTTTAAATTCGTATTCATATTGAGGAAAGCAAAAACCTAGGTTTTCACTTAGTATGAATAACCTTACCTCACTCAAGGAATTGTTCAACTCCAGTAAATGTTTTAACTAGTGTATTGTACCTTGAACTGGGTAAAGCAAACACTTTTTAAAAGTAGCATATTTTTGGAATTCTATTAATTATATAACTAAATTATCACATTAAAGTATATTTGGTTTAATAAGATAAATTGTCCATTATTCAATTACATGAAACATAACAGCAGTGTTAATTTACACATTTAATAAACAGCAAATATGATTAAACTTCCCACCAATGTGTGCCACCATTTCATCAGTGAAGTGATTGCTTGTATATGTGGTGCTGACACTGACCTAGGGGCAGAAAAGTAATTAGGGTAACCTACCTGAGGGTAATTATGTGGTGATTTTCACTCAACATTCAAACCATCAAAGTAAAGCACAGGCCAGTCGCTTGCATAAGCAAATAAAGGGTTTATAACTCCTGAGGTGGGGCCCCATTTCTTGAGACATTCTTATGTTGTATTAGTTATTTTATTTTTTAATTTTAATTATAAAATTATTATAAAATTGCTGCACTCTCTAATGTGTTTTCCCTTTTTTTTTGTTTTATGGACAGCTGACATGTAAGGTATCACACATCAGTAGATTGTGCATAGCTGTCTCACAGAGCCAGCAGAAATCTACTGTGGGGGCTGCAATTGTTTTGGCATAAGTAACCTCCTCATTATGGCTGAGCCAGGTAAATTTGTCCAGCCAAGCCATGTCATAACCACATGTGTTTTTGAAAAATCTGAGAGGATTAATAGAAAGTGACATTAAAATCACATAAACATTGGTTTTACATTAATACACTCTTGACTTAGTAACTGAATTACTTTACGCTTGCCTAGATCCTCTCCAGCACTCTGACTCTGGTCCTCTTCACCACTGCTCCCTCACGCTTCTTGCCGTTGTGTACTTACTTTCAGACCTTTCAGAACTTTCAGACCATCTTGTCAGTACTATAAATTAACAATTCTTAACTGCCTATCAGATGATGTCTGCTCTGTTTCACATGCCTTTTTGATTCTCCTTCTCGCGAACTGACTTTGGGAAGTAACCACTTATTCTAGGAGCCATATCAACAACACCGAAACAAGTACACTGACAGGATGTAATGTTAATTTAGAAAACCACATGAAACTAAAAGTGCTTGAATGCAAAAGAAATATTATTCACCTGTGTGACAGCCACAAAATATCAAGGTGCTACAGGACACATTCTATTCCTGCTCTTGGAGAAAAAAAACAGATGGTCTGTTTAGAAATTCCAGTACTTTTCTTCCTCTTTGGCAGTTTTGGCAGCACTTTTCCCTGTACACTGTGCTGAATAGGATACAGCGTCACCACATCGGTGTAATGCAGCAATTACAGTTACAAATGACATAACTCCACCACATGTAACGCTGGTTACAAAATGTTGTTTTCCATGGAGACACCAACCAAAGTTTTGTCAACAGAAGGAGGCGGTACAAAATTAGATTTTGTTCTATGCAGCAAAAACCCTAAGATCAACTGTTCAGTTTTCCAAAAGATCTACTTTCTGCAGCTGCTATTTCATGATACTTAAAAACCCACATACTGTATATCATGGAAGTCCTTGGTTATGTAAAATCTTCATTTTCACTGAGCTGCTATCTGATGCATCAGCCTTGGCTGCAAGGGATGGAGCCAAGGAGGTGGCCAGGGGGTGCCACTTGCCACCCCCACAATTTGATTGGCTACCCTTGGTGCCAGAGTCAAAATGTGATGCTTGCCAGTATTAATGATTAAAGAATGAAAAACAAAAACAATACAACTAACATTTTTCTGGTGCTTTATAAGTGATATTGAATTTAGTTTTATATCTGGTAAGCAGCATGATTCATTTCTCAGTCTGTGTTGTTGTCGGGTAATTGGCATGATTCACCTTTGTTTGGGGGGGGAGGGGTCGCACTATGTGTGTCTCATTTTTACACAAAACAAACCATTTGTATCGTTCAATTTAATTTAGTTTTTACATTTATTTCAGATGTGCCAGCCCTCCCTGAGTCTGTGCGACCGCCTGGCCACCCCGTCCTCAATTAACTAGATCCACCCCTGCTTGTCTGTACTTTGTATTCAATACTAATAGGCTAATTTTCATATATTTTTTAATATATTTTAATGTAATAAACGTGGCTGAAAATTCAACAAGTCCTGGCAGGGGTCGTTATATATAGACCTACGCTACCTGCAGCTCAAAAAAATACCCTATGTCTGAAATACTGGATCTTAGATGTACCTGCCTTTGGCCGTGTGCAAATTAAAGACAAGCACACGTGTGCAAACGCACGCCACACTGCATGCTAGTGCAATGCACGCTCATATGGGCACATACTCAAATATGATGAAGATGCTGACATAATTAGAACATTGCAGAAGCAGCCGAACAGTCAGGAGGCCTCGCAACTGAGAGCGGCGCAAGGAGGACGGGGTATACGAGACCCCCATTACCAACAGGAAGAAATGAGGAACGGTGAGTGGGAGAGGAAGAAAACACTGAGAACAATTTAGACATACGAATTAATGGGGGCGGTAAAGATCAGAATGGTGGAGTGGATATCAGAAATGAAAATCCTACCGATCTGGACGCCCGGGGATCCGCACAACGCATCGTGCCATAAGAGTGTCACTATAAACAGCAGCCTCATGGTCGTGTTCTGGCTCCTCACGCGACGCCACAGCAGCCTACAGTTGCGGTTCCTACCAAGACATCACCTCCATCACACAAGATGCGAGTTCATGGCGCCATTCCAGCTTCGTTCAGAAGCGTCTCGAGCTCTGCAGATACCGGGCTCTTGAGATGCGCGTGCTTCCGCCGCTGCTGCTGAAGCTGGACTGAGGGCGCGCGCCGAGGGTTGGTTAGGAATATCGACGAAGCACGAAAGAGAACCGAGAGCAGCCGACAGTTAAAGGTGGGCCGTAGTTTATGAGATAACGATGATAGTTCAGTGCGTTAACATAAACGCAAGCATATCTGATGCACACCGAATCAAGAGTATATACAGTACATGCTATATCATTTCTATATAGGCCTAAAGATAACTTGACCTGATATCACACAACAGCCAATAGGCTGCCAGCTACGTCTGCTCTCTAATGTGGCGCAGAGTGACATGATTCCTGCATATCAGAAAAATAAAATGCTAAGTATGCATACACAAACTCTGTATGGTTTACAGTAAGGTGGGCTCCTATAAATTAACACTGACAAATATGGAAATGCCTATATATGCATAGTCTAATAAATCAGCTTTTTATTCAAAACAAATGTTAGGGAAATTCTTAAGCTTTCGACAATGTTTCATGCTTCCCAATGAAACAAATAACAGTTACATTACAACGACATTAAAATACAGGCACAATTTAAAGCTGGATGGATTCATTTCCATTATATCCACCTTACTGCCAATGCTTCTGTTCTTTTCTGGTTGAACATAAGAACATGGAACCTGGATTATGCAGTTGGTTAAAAAACAAATCAGCTGCCTCTTATTTGCTAAAAATGGAAGCTTACTGGATCTTTACTCAGGAGGTATATCTAATAAATCTACATGAACTCAACTGAAAAACTTTCTAGATTTCTAGGTCGAAGACCTGCTTTTTTCAGTTTACTATGACCTGGATGACTGAGAATCTGCACAGATATATAAGCTCAAGGCTTGTTGCATCAGCCATAGCCTTTGCATATTTACTAATGGAAATTTGTTATTGCTACTTTGTATCAACATTGCATATTTGGCATAAATATTTACAAAGATGAATAATCTGATTTTTAATGTACAGGTTATTATTTTATAGAACTAGGAGATATACTTTTCTTTTCACACATATTTCAAATGTGCCACCCTTCTCTGGGTCTGTGCCCAGCTCTGATACTTTGATACTCGCTCTATTTGCCTGTTTGTTTTTAGTTAGTATTTTATCTTCTGAAGTACTTTGGTCAACATGATGTTATTTTTAAACTGCTATACAAATAAATTTGATTTGATTATAAATAAAAACTGAATAAACATTTTTGAAACCCCCCTTTACCTCATCTTCATTTGGAAACAGTGATGTTACACCCTGTTTCGTTGAGGCCAAGGCATAGCATGGAGACAACACTCACCTCCTCATCTCCCAGGCACAACAGAATACAAAGGTTCAGTGAAAACCCAGTGAAAGGGTGTTTTATTTTACAGTGTTGTATGGATGGACAGGGAAAAAGGACACTGAGGAACCTGAACAGCTCATAGCTTTGGACATGGGCTAAAGCCAAAATAACAAACAAAAGAAGGTCCTACCTAAAGAAAGATTTAACATAACCTAACCTAAAATAAAAGGAAAACAAAACACAAATCCCTTGCCTACTAATTTAAACATGACAAAACAAATCAATACCACTGGCTGCCCATTACTACTAAAACTCAGACCATCTAGCACAGCATTCAAAGCCATCTTGTACAAACTACATGGTCATGGCTGGCTGGGAATAAAGTTCTGCCCATCTGTGCACTGGTGCTCTGCATCCTCAGGTTTCATATAGGTTCTTCCTCTTGGGGCTAGCCAATCCTCACGGAACAGACCTCCACCGGGCCATCACCTCCACATCCGCTCACTTGAATTTACATACGTACCTTCTCAAACACACTTAGTAAGAAAGAAATGGAGACAAACAACAAACATCTCCAACACAATACGACCACAGTTGTAACAGTACAAAGATATTCAATTAAAATCAGTTTTAGTTGTATAGCACCAAATCACAACAAAAATCATCTCAGCGCACTATATGTAGTAAGGTCTATACCTTACTATTGTTATTGTTATTATAGAGGAAAACTCAACAAATCAAGCAACAAAGCAAGCACTTGGCGACAGCGGGGAGGAAAAACTCCCTTTAATGGAAGAAATCTCCGACAGACCCCAGCTTGGTGGGCGGCCTTCTGCCTTGACCGGTTGGGGTGAGTGGATAGAGGAGAGAGAAAAGAAAGGTAGGGGAGAAACTCGGATCATCATGGTCCCCCCAGCAGTCCAAGCCTATAGCAGCATAACTAAGGGATGCTCGGGGTCACCTGAGCCAGCCCTAACTATAAGCTTTATCAAAAAGGAAAGTCTTAAGTCTAATCTTAAAGGTATTAAAAGAAGAGATGGTGCAACATGGTGGTAACATGGCCCTGTTCTAGCACTCTTTGAAATGTATTGCTGACATGGATTTTAAAGTGAGTAGATTTTTTTCAAATAACTAAATTTTTCATTTTCAGTATTTGATATGTTGATATTTGATTTATTTGTACTATTGTCAATTACATATGGGTTTTAAAACATGTCCAATTCATTTCACTGAGTTTTATTTACAATTTACACAGAATCTGTATTATCTGGATTGTTATTAATTTGTATTTTGTAACCTTAGGTGACACCTCAGCCTTGCTTCCTGTTGCTGCTTTTACAGGGAATGAGAGGAGCTCTAAGTGATCATTCTGATTCCACCTGCTGATTCTTTATTCATTCTACTAACAATGTCCACATTGTGCTGAGCTGCACCACCAACTGGTAAATGGACTTACTATATAGCACTTTTCTAGACATTGCATGCACATGTTTTCACCCTATTTTGCCCATTCACCCAGCTGCATTCTCAGCCACTCACACACCGGTGGGACAGCCACCAGGAGCAACTTGGAGTGCAGTGTTTTGCTGAAGGGCACTTTGACATGGAATAGAGAAGCTGGAAACCAAACTGCAAACCCTCTGGTTAGGAGGTGACCCACTCTACTTCCTGAGCCACAGCCACCGTGGTTAACAGTAGTCAACATCATTACAATTACTGTATGCACCAAAGGTTTGGCCCCATTTTTCAAACAAAAACTTCCATCAGTACCATTTGACAGATGCTGTAATCACATAACATCAAACACATTCTACACAGGGCCTTACATATATTGTAACTGTGAGTAGTAGTAGTAGAACTAATTGTCAGACCAGGATGTGAAAGTGAACCCCATTCTGTGTCCATCTCTGCACAATGGACCACTGTTAATTTATAACAATTATTTAACATTTTTTCATTTCAAATGCTATAAGGATAATCACCTTTATTGGCCAAGTATGTTACACACAAGGAATTTGTTTCTGGTACAGAACCAATGGCAGCCATCTGCGGTGCCAACCGATGGCTCTGACCATCGGGGGCAACAGGGGGGTTCAGTGTCTTGCCTAACAACACTTTGACATGTGGACTGCAGGCACCGAGATTTGAATCTTGCACCTTCTGGTGTGGAGACGACTGCTCTACCCACCACACTGTCCCCCCTATGCAGAGATCATAAAGTAAACATGCTGTTACATTTAGAAATTTGCTTTAAGCTTTAATAATAGCTTTAATAATCATAAAGATAATAACAACAACCAATAAGATAATAAAGGACATTTAACTTGAAGCTGTAGGAGAAATATTTTCTTTTGACATTCACTTGTTATTTTTACACTATATCAAACACAATCGAGTACTCAAAGTTCATGTTTTCTATTGTCCTCCCTTTTGAGTGTTTTCAAAAAGTAACATATCACACATCAATTCCAGAGGGGGAAAAACCTTTATTGAACTTTCCTGAAAAGAAATCATTTCAGCTAGTTAGCAGTACTGAATTGCAAGGTCTTAAGGCTTTCTTTTCTTTTTTTTTTTTACAACATAGCAATTTATTTCAAGAAGATGCATAGCATAGAGCAGCTAGCTGCCAAGCACAGCTAAGGTAAGGTAGTTAGCTAGAACTGCAGCACGGAGAGCTCATGATCTCTGCATGCTAAATTGTTTTTAAGGAGGTCTAAGCATTTAGTGGTAATTGACTGAGCTGAGCTCTGTAATGCTTTATGGTAAAAGGTATAGATCTGTGCAGAACAAAAACGCATAATATGTATGTAAAACTTTATGAATTGTTACTAGTGAACACCATCTCGTACATGCATTAATACAAAAACCTAGATTATTGAGAGAAATTCCATCGCATCTCTTTTAAATAGGTAAGGATGTTTTGTTTGTGGTAATTTGCAGTTAAACACTAAAAAGCTAAATACTAATACTAAAAACCTAAATATGCCAAAATCTGCCCCATCACAGGAGCAGTGCTTCTTTGACTCAGAGGCAATAGGTTAATGGAAGATTAGTATCTGATATTCAGGAGCAGGACTATGCCTCAAATGCACACGTCTTCCTGGACTGTCTGCATATATACTTCCAGTTCCACACACAAAGCCACTTTTTCTTACTTTCACGTGAAAGCCCATTTTCGTTCGAACATATACTTTAAACTAGTAATGATGTGGTGAAGCTTTGTTTAGGCGTTGAGGCTTCCCAGCCAATAGTTCCACCTACTGTATATCTTGGCCTTCTTGCCTTCCAGCTTTCACTTAGCATCAAAACCAGAGCATTTAATGCTAGTTACTACTGTAAACTAGCATTTACATCATTTACATGGCTAAATCTGTATTATTTTTGGAATTGTTGTTGATTAACCTAAGCTAGGTGGCCAAAATCAGTAACCGTTCCTGAACCTGTCATGAGGCTAGGTACGTGAGCATGTGAATGGTTATAGAGCAAAAAGACAACATTGGGCTCTATTTTCCTGAAACAGGAAAGTAAACTCATGTCTAAACTTCAGGCACAAGACATATGGGCATGTTCAATGATGTTTTGCAATTGTGGTAACCACAGGTGCAGCACAGTTTTGTGCACAGCTAGGCATTACCGGGCACACTGTGGAGGAGAGGCAGAATAGATTATTAGGGGGAGATATGCATTGTGAGCAGGTGGAGTTGGGGCTAGCTTTAGTTCTGTCTAGCCAAACCAACTTCTCTCATCCCCTTTAAACAGCAGGGTGCAAACCTGACTGACTGATGTCACTGGTGTCAGGACATTGAAACATATGAAAGGAAAGATTTGTTTTTTCCCTCTATCTTCTTCTCCTGCCTGTTATGTTCTCCATTCCTATAGCATGATGACAGAGCTACTTATGTAGAAGTACTGCACATAAAAATTCACTCAGTCATCTGGTGATATCATTGACCAGCTTTTGTGTGTATAAGAAAGTCTCTGGTCCTGTAGCCAGTAGCAATTATAAAGCATAATTTGCTCACAGCTGTATCCAATGTGTAAACTCCACAGGGGTCTTAGGGTTACAGTATGTGCATGTAACCTCCCTTTTTGATAAAGCTTATAGTTAAGGATGGCTCAGGTGACCCGTGATGCTCCAAGCTCCTCTCCTCTTAATGTATTTTTATTCCATTTTACGTGTCACTAACTGTGTGTCTCCTCTCTCCCGTACTGTGTCCTCTCTCTATCCCTGTACCTTTCTGCAAGTAGCCCTGGTTCTGGAGCTGTTGGTTTCTGATGAGCAGTCACCAGCCACATTAACCTGCCCAGTGTTTGTTTGTTGTTGTGTTTGTTGTGTCTTGTTGCTTTTCTTTTCTTTTCTCTCTCCTCTATCCACTCACCCCAACCGGTCAGGGCAGAAGGCCACCCACCAAGAGCCGGGCTCTGTCGGAGGTTTCTTTAAAGGGAGTTTTTCCTCCCCGCTGCCACCAAGTGCTTGCTCAAGGGAGATTTGTTGGGTTTTTCTTCTTTTTTTCTTGAGATGATTTTTGTTATGAGCTGGTGCTAAACAAATAAAACTGAATTGAATTTAATAAAAATACATTTGTGTACCTGTTCTCATGCTTCCCTGCCTACACACTTGGGATTTGAGCATGTGTTATTGTTATTGCTATTTTGGGTCAAAATGAGTACCAGATTTGCACAGTGCTGCCTAATCGGCATAAACACACCTCAGCTGTGCCTCTCCTCCCACCTCAACATAAGCATACTGATTCATGGCAGGGAAAACCTAACGCAGGTATGTGGGAAAAAATACAAACATGTGCCCAAGGAAAATTGCATAATGACAGTGACTGAAGCTTCACAGAAATTGCACTGGCAGAAAAATAAAGCCCACTGTAGCTAAAGACTGGTGTTATAAAATAAAAGAATTACTGGGAAAATGTCATTATGAAATAAAAAATAAAATATGAAAGTATAATATTTCATTCAGGTTATCACTGCCCTTATTGGAAAAAATCTGCTTAGTTTCTTGGTCAAACAAGATTTTTTTCTCCTTTATATTTTTTCCTTATTGTTATTACAACATACCAAATTATTTAGTGTTTAATGTTTTTGTTATAACAACATAATATATCACTTTATCTTGTTTTATCACAAAAAAATCATTCTTATTCATGATAATGTGACATTAGAACCTGGGAAATGTCTTGTTACATCTTACCTCATTCACAGAAACAGAAAATATTCACTTTTGTCATGGTGGCAGCAATATACTTTGTTCTGAAGTTATGTTTGTTATTTTAATTATTTGATTTATTTTAATTTATTTATTCATTTATTTTGTGTTTCTTCTTATATATGCTTTAATTTATTTTGTAATGATTTTTAAATATGTACTAAGAAATGACCATTTTGGAGTTCTATACCTTTACTAAAGTGTTAACATCAGTTTCACCCTCAGTAAAAAGTATTTATGTGATCCTAATGCATAGCATAGAGGTATAGGTGTACCCAGAGTGCATTGAGAAGGAGAGTGGCGACATCTCCATTGGCTCTTTTTTTACAGTATTGGCAGATCATAGGAACATCAAATAGGTTCCAGATATTAAGAGCAGGACCACAGAGATACATTGATTTGGCTGCTGTCCTCTATAGTAAGTTGAAATCAATAGCAATAATTATACTTTGGCAATGTGTCAAAACACGTTTTACATCTTTTTGACTGTCTCTGTCAAATATTGTCACTTTAATAATTAGGTAACTAGCTAACTAGCTACGTTAGCTGAGCTATCCACAACAACAGAACAGAATTAGTTCGCAGGGCCGTA